GAGCACCAGCCAGAGACCTCAGTACATTCAGACCCATGTTTGTCTCAGGAAAGGCTTTGAGTCTTTGCCAAGGGATGAGGTCTGGGGGAGCAGGCTTGGGGATGTGCTACCTTCAGCGGAAGGCATTATTGCTAACAGGAAAAAGACATCTTTTTGTTTGTTTGTTTAACCTTGAACAACTGAGGAAGAGTGGGTTATTATTTGATACATAACAGTTACTTGCATCTGTTGAAAACAATGGGTTGGCACAGCTGGAAAATAAAATGAAATTTTAATGTTTGTAAAATAGTATACAATGTTACCTTTGCTTCAGGCCTCACTTAGGCTTTTATTTGTTCTTTACAGCTCAATGTTATTGCTCTGCTTAGGAGGGTCAGTCACAGAACACATGTGCAACAGTAACACACCAATCTCATGGAGAATAAACAGGGGTATTTTACATGACAGCTTGGCTGGGATTTTCAAAGTGGCTGTGGGAATATGAAATCCGTGGTGCTGCTCCGGAAGCTATCAAGGCAGCTGGATGAGTTCTCTCTCTTACAAGATTTTGTAGAACTCAGTGACTGATCTTTCAAAACAAAGTTGTTTTTTTTTCATTTTAACTTGAGAAGTTTAAGATTCACTTTTTGCCAAACAGCATCTCGTTCGGTCTGTGGTTTGATCTCCCTTTCGGGGTGAGAGGCAGCTGGCTGCGGGGCTGCACTGCGAGTCCCGCTCGCTCAATCCGCAGCAAATGCTGCCCCTGGTGTTTCACAGCAGGAAATACCCCAAAATCGTCCCTCGGCTTTCCATGTTTTGTCCAGAAGACCTTGGTGAAATGCCACCATCCCTGGACACCACCATCAGTTTTGGATAGGTTGGTTGTCAATTTTCTTAAAAGCAAACTGTTCTTAACATGATCATAACATCCCTTGTGCTTTGTGTTACTAAACATGCACAGGATAAAACATTTAATGTAACAGGACCTGAACAATTAATTACTTTTTTCCCCTTCTGTTGACACTGATTTGTGACCTTTTTACATGATACTGTAATCTCACATGAGCTGTCATGCTTGAGCATTTTTTCTGTGTGAATTCCCTACTGTTGTTGAAGCTCTGAGTTTCCCAAGCTGGCAGCCCCTTCCAGATCAGCAAAGCACTTATTTGTGCTGGGTTCACAGCCAGACATCCCATTGTGGTAATACCTTTACAAAAATGGAACAAAAAGACTGAGCTGAACCTATGTCACCTAAAATCTCAAGTGCATACCTTGTTCATCTGTGTTTAGAAATCATGTATCAAATTGCCTCAAAGTTGTATTAAATCCACAGGAACAGCTTAATATCAATCCTGAGGATGTTACAACTTTGGAGCTTAGAATTTTCAGCCATTTCTATTATTTGCTTTTCAGCAAGGATTCTCGGCTGTTTTGAAGGCCTACAGTTATACATACATGTATTTCTGAGGGTATTCCAAGCTAGGCAGGCCCCTATCATGCTGCTTACCTTGCAAATTGTTTAACTTTGAAGCAGAGTCTGACTGCACTCGAGTCAGTTTTCTTGTCCTTAAATTTTGGGCACAAGGTGCATGCAACTGCTACTCTGTTTAAACTGTAAGGTAAGCCATTCTGAACACACCGTTTTTGGTTTTTTATTTTTTTAAAAAAATAAGAATATACTCCCCAGAGCAATCTAAAGAAACTAGGTTTACAGGTTATTTAATAAACAACAGGGGAAAAAAACCCCAAACAACCCCATGCCATCACTTACTACCTAGACAAATAACAAAATTCACATAAACTATTCGGGGAAGTGGAATCACTGAAGTGGTTATTATCAGGTTTTTTCAATATAATTTTGGTAGATCATATTTCTTACATTCTTTTGTCTAATCTCTAAATGCAGATTATAACTTGGCATTTCTTTCTTCTCAGAGCAGAATCAGAAAGTCAACTTTTTAAAGTCTCTTTTGTGTATGGTGGATATTTCTCTTGGAGTAGTATTGTATTTACATGTGTTTGTGTATCACATGTGTACACTAGCACACCCACTCTGTTTATCCAGACAGACTTACAGAAGGATAAAACCAGAAGTCTTTATTTATCCAAATAAAAGTAAACTAGAGGAGCTAAGCATGGGAATTGCCTGCAATTGCCTGAGGAACTGCTAAAAATAGCTGCTTTCTGGAAACAGGAGAAGCCTTCACTGTCGAAAAAGTAACAGTAACAGCTATCTACTATTAGCAAACTACTTTCTTTCCAAAACCCGAAGGACACAGGGACAAAAATCGCTTCTTGTCATACTTCACTGCGAGAACTGGACAGAATGTAGACTAAAAAGGGCCTTCTGTCCCAGAAGTACATCATGTTGGTAAGCCTGATCCTGTGCATAAATACCTTGTGTGAACTTCATCATTATCACCGTCTCCAGTTACAGAACTTAAACTAGAGCAGATTATCAAAACATTACAGGAACTAAAGTAATTTCCAAGTACGATCATTAATCACCCCCGCCAAGTCTAATCACATTCTGAGCTCTCTTCATTGTTCCATTAAGACAGGTACTTTATCTTAATTAGAGTTACTGCTTCAAAAATTAACACTAAAGACAATTTAAAATGTCCTATCGGAACAAACATTTTATTCTCTCACCTCCTAACTCCATTCAACTTTGATGTGGAAAAAAAACCATGAAAGACTGGGCAGATTTCTGACTTCTCCCATCATTAGATATTTGCACAATTTTTTTCTGCTAGAAATACTCTTACTGAGTAATTCTATATATAGAAAGTCTCAGGAGGTAGAGTCCTCTTTGTGCTTCATGCTGTACAAGCACTAGCATTTACAGACTAACCTGGAAAATATGATCTAAATTTTTACATATTTACTCTTCTAAACAATATTTTCATTTCCTGTGGTGAAGACAAATGTAAACATGATGTAATGATACTTCACTTTTGCTGTCTTGCAGAAACACTTCAGATAAAACAACAGCCACAAAAACATCACTTCCTCCAATCTCCGTGAGGGGAATATCAGGGTTTAACAGAGACTATACACACAAACATCGTATATACACACAAATATCGTTTAACAGAGACTATACACACAAACCCTGCAAAATCAAATCAAATATCTGTTTCTTGCTGAAACAGAAATCAGTGATGGCAATTTGAGGCATTTTCTTAGTCCCACTGGGGATAGCACACACAAGATTAGTAAACCTCCAGAAGCACTTTCTACCAAGAAACTTCAGCAGGATTCTTTCGGATACCTGTTAGCAACAGAAAAACACTCTTCTGGGAAAAAAAAGTGCCTGCAGGAACAAGTAGTAGATAGCTTACACTTTTTAGGTGAATGGAGAGGAGGTGGGAAACAAGGTCTGGGATATTAAAAAATTGCTCACTGAACAATTTGGCCATTTTAATTTTCAATCAAAATGTATGTATTCTTGAAATACTACCTTTAATCAGCAAGCCAGAATTTCCCAAACTTATTTCTTAATTTGGTAGCAAACAGTTTAAATGTAGCAAAATGAAGGAAAAGGAATAGAGAATTCCTTCAGCTTTGGTAACCAGGGAGACAGATATGAGACATACCAAATCTCAGAATTTTATATATCTAACTCACAGTTTTGGAAGAAGGTATGGAAAGAATATCTTCAACATAAGTTGAACAAATCTCAATCTGTATACTGAGAATTTTCATTTTGGTTTTGTATATCTTGTATCTGTATGTGGAAAAAAGGAGAACTGATGTTATTAGCTCTCTCTAATAGCATATAAACCATTGCCTAGTTTCAACTCCTTAAAAAAGTAAAACCAGTTCATTTCTTACAATGAATGCTGGAAAAAGGGTAGTGAATGACAAATCTAAGGTGCAGTCTCTGAATAAAAAACTCAGCAGATGTTCACTGTTAAGCTATACACCTGTTAGCAGTTGCCTTTCCAATCAAGCTATTTGTTTCCAGTAGAGTGGTAAATCTTACAGACAAATCCATGAGAAATCAGGTTTCATTAGTTTTGCTTCTGAGAGAGTAACCTGTTAAAAGAATTCAGAGTGTAAACAGTATCTTGCCTTTCACTAGGTTGCCATATTAGCCACAAAAGACTAATAATGTGCATAGAGCAAGATGTAGGAACAGTTCCTAACTGGATTCCAAACACTGTGCCTCACATGTTATCTTAGACTACATCTGATTCATTTCATATGCAGCACAAAATACAGGATTTGGGTTGGAAGATTATAATGGCCTGGGACATCTTCCATTAGACCAGGTTGCTCTGACCCATCCTGACCCAACCTTACAACGCTTCCAGGAATGGGGCATGCACAGCTTTTCTGGGCAACCTGTGTTAGTGCCTCACCACGTTCACCCCAAAGATTTTCTTCCCGACATCCATCTATACCCACCCTCCTTAAATTTAAAACTTGTTAGTTGTCCTGTCACTACAGGCCTTGGTAGAAAAGTCCCTCCCCATCTTTCTTGTATGCCCACTTCAAGTACTGAAAGGCTGCAATAAAGTCTCCTCTGTGCCTTCTCTTCTCTCAGCCTGTCTTTATGAGAGAGGTGCTCCAGCCCTCTGATCAATTTAGTGGCCCTCCTCTAAATTGGACCCGCTGCAGCAGGTCCATGTCTTTCCTGTGCTGAGGACCTCAGAGCTGGATGCGGCACTCCAAGTGGGGTCTCGCCAGAGTGGAGTAGAGAGGCGAAATCCCCTCCTTTAACCTGCTGGCCAAGCTGGTTTTGATGCAGCCAGGACATGGTTGGCTTTCTGGGCTGCAAACGCACATTGCCGGCACATGTCCAGTTTTTCAGGATGGACGGTATCTTATTTAACACTTCCTAACTCCTCAAAAATCTACTCTGATTTGGGTTTCATGTAATTCTGGTAAGCCATGCATCCTGCTTCTGAGTAACTCCTACATTCTGTTAAGTTACACTGTAAGAATTCCCGCTTATCTTGCATGGGCACATTAATCCATTCTCTTAGGCTTGCAGTTACTGCAAGTTGCTGCCATTATGTTTGCACAACATAATTTGATGTTTAAAATCTGAGTAAATTGCCCCAGCTGCTTATCAGAGACAGCAATGAGGGCCCATGTGTTCATTTAGATGGCTAAGCCAGACTCAGTCTGTATGACGCCTATAATATGACTCATCACCTACTCTCTCAAGAGAGGAATGACTACTGTGCTGCAAATGTAGTCAGGACCGCAGAATATTTCCTCTGTTGCCTTGCAACTGTCTATACTGATTCCTCAGAGGAGAAATAGATCTTTGCATTTGGGCTCTGTTTATTGTAACTATCATTCTAACTGGCTGGACCTACTTGCATATAGTGAGCAATAAGGAAGGTAAGATGCAGTCATAAGTTCTTGTATAACATAGCCTTACCTTTCCAAACACACTTATTTCAAAAGATCTCAGCATCTCCTACCTTTCCTACTATACAGCTCAATATACATAGGTGGAAGTTTTATTTCACGAGTAAATAGATATTGAGCTGTTATTTCTAAGAACAGAAGGAAACTTAAAATGATTTATGCAGTAAGACTGGAGGACTGATTTGGTAAACCTTTGGGTTATTATTGACACAGATGAGGAAAAAAGATACAACACATTATCAAACAGCAGTTTAAAGGCATATATGAATTTCGGTGTAGCCTAAATAGAATCTTGAAGTCCAAGCAGAGATAAAGTGCATGCAGATAAAGCAGGCCATTCAAATTTTTATAAGATGTCTTTCAAAGAGCTATATGATCACTTAATCAATTTTCTCTTCTTGAAAACTGTCTGCATCATCCATGCAATCTTCAAGATCATTGTATCTCTGCAAATGAAATAAAACCTGTATTATTTAATCAATGTTTAATAACTAGGTTATGTAAAGACTGCTTTTTCTTGTTCAACACATTACCAAACATATCAATAACAATTTAGAAAGAATGATATCTGAAAGCTTGCTAAATGCAATTGTACTTCAAGTTGTCTTAAAATAGTTTATAAAGTGTTCCTAAATAATTCAAAGTGCTTCAGTGTAAATAAACAGAATTCTAAAATATTCTGTGCCTTACGTACGTGTTTCCAATCTTTCTAAGTTAAAGCTCGAGTTTGTTGTGTTGCTGCTTTCAAATGAAAGAGGAGTTTGCCCTCCACAGCCCAGAGATCATGCAGCTGTCAAAAAGCTTCATGTCAAAAGTTGATACAAACTCTATCTGAGCACAGCAACACAGCCGTGTTTGAAAGACTGGGTCAGCAGAAATGGATAAACAGTTAAGCTGAGTTGTATTATACAAGGCAAATAATTCAGAACTGATCAATTAAATCAGACATTTTATCTCAATGTACTTTTATCTCTTTGGAAAAGGATAGAGGAAATAATTCGGGCATACCTTCTGAATCCACCCACTCTCTTCCAAGTGGCTGAAAAGCCGTTCTACAGTGTCTTTGACTGGTTCATCCTCAACACCATTCAATTCGGCAACAGAGCTGCAATCCACATACAACTTGTACTTGAAGTGCTTCAAATTGTGATAAATTCTTGTCCGATTTGCACACACCAAGCCAACCTTCAAAACCTAGGCCAGAACAAACAAATCACTCTTTCTGATAGAACTGATTATCTTGACAATATACAGAATTGGTAAGTTAGTCTAGTATGACTCTAGTCAGTCCAGGAAATTTTTCTGAATAATGAAATAAACAGAATGATGCTACATGCATAAAATCAGTACAAAACCATGTAGTTTTCACAGCCACAGCACAGCGATTTATGAGCAAGCAGGCAGCCAGCAAGTCTATGCAATGGCAGCTTATCAGTATGGTCTTCTTGCAAACACAACCATGTTTATAATTGGTGGTATCTTTCATATCTCCTGGTGGAACTTCGTTATGAAATCACTAACACTTTAGACAACCATCATATTGTGAAAGCAGAGGAAGAGAAATCATTTGTTTACTTTTGCTTAATATGTAAGTACTTCCTAGGACATGAAATACCAGTTTTAACATTTTGTAGACTGATTAACTTTCAATAACAAATACGTAACTATACAAATAGACATATGCCTTGAAACATTTATTTAATAAATATAAGGGGGTGTGTTGAATTTCATAAAAATAAAATATGAAAACTGAGGTTTTGTAGAATGCAGACGTTAGGCCACAATGCTGTAGAAATCAAAGACTCACATCTCCCAGTTATTACCAGTCTTATTTCTAAGATTTCCATGCAGAATAGACAGAACTGTCTTATTTCACAGTCTTCTTTACAGCAGTATTTATAGGTAAACAAGTGGTAGATATGCTTGTTACTACATGGATTACAGTAAATTTGTTATAATCTATCAGCACTAAGATGAAAATACAGTGTGATACACTGGTTACAAAAATCTTTCGCCATCCTAAATCTTCACTAAGAGTATATGAAATTGGAGATGTGGGGAGGGAAAAAAGAGTCAATTTTCACCTGCATTTAAGGACATGCTGTGTTTCACAAGAGTATGTTTTGTCCCACTTCTACAAGAACAGTAGTTCCAGTAGATACAATGGCAAGTCAGAAGAGGATTCTATCCTCTCTAAGTGACCCACAGGTGCACTGATCGCTACTCTAATCCAAGGAGACAAAGTCTATTAGGTAAGAAATCCATGTCTGGCTGGTTTTCGGGGGTCAGGTTTTCTACACTCAAAGCAACATAATTAATACAAACATAAAGAAATTCAGCTCCTGATACATACACGAGAAATAGATTCAATTTTTCTGAAAAAAAACCAAACAACCAAACCTCATCAGCTTATCCTTCAAGAACAGCACTGTTTTGGACTGATGTCTTGTCACACTTTTGCAAGTAACAAGCACATAAATGGTTAAAGGTCAGAGTTCTTTGCATCAGTAATGCAAGCTGCAATTGTACAATTTAACATTACACACACACATATGTATAAAAGAACCAACTGTGTTATAAGTTGAAAAATGACTTTTTCTGAGCCACAACACTGATACCTTTTATTGCTGCCACTGGTAATAATCTGAATTATCTCAAATTACAAGAAGGTTAAGTTTTAATTGATGCTTACAACCTGCATTTTCAGTGAGCTTTTCCAAATGCATGACCAAATGTTTGCATCTGTGAGCAGTTCCCCAAAACACCTGACCTTAAATATATGAATATACTTAATTTCTGAAATATATTTTTATATAAAACCAGCAGCTCAATTGATATCAGCAGACATAATATCACTAAGTCAAAATGGTTATTAACTGCACTGTTAAACACCTTGAGATAAAAAATGCCTATTACTATATTGTAATTCTCTACTGATGATGCACACATTGTACCTATATGCAGCTCCATTTCTACTATCCCCAAAAATGAAAAGCTAAGGCTTGTGTTTGGTGCTGCAGGTGCTTCTGAAGTGCAAGACCTACCAACCAATGCTTGATTTATTCAAATTTCCAGAATTATCATTTCAAATACTGAAACAATCAAGAACTGAGCTGTGGCATTTTGTAGAGCATTTCAAAACTTTCCAAGTATCCCAAGCAATGAGGTGTGGCACTTGGAACATTATGTGATGCAAAACAGGAGATATCATCCTGCATCAAACTGATGGCCCAGTTCTTTACCCTGTGACAACAGCTAGCAGGATTTTGGGACGCACTAATAATTTCCCTTCAAAAATATCTTGTGGCAATGAGTTTCATAGCTTATTTATATGCGAGGTGTAAAGTACTGCCACAATGGGGAAATGCCAAATGCAAATAGCTAAATATCATATAAATGTAACTATGCATTGTGTTTTTAAAGCAAGAATGATAGTCTAAAAATAAAGAGCTATTTCAGAATGCAGTGTTGGAAAGAATCTCAGTACTGTACTCATTCTAATTTTTTCCTCTTGCAGTTCTCAGTCCCTCTGTCCTAATGCTTAACTTATCTACTCAAGCTGGCCCTATCAGCCAAAGTTGTGTTAAATCACTTTGTATGGAATGTAGGAGCATGGCCTGACAATAGCACAACATGTAGTGACTGAATCCATGTCCTCTAAGCATGTTTATAAACAGAAGTAGAACATGAAAACCGAGAGAGAAAACAGTTTATAATCCAGGTGACACAAGAGCAAAGAAGTGTGGGGGACACCTATACCTCTAAACTGTTTGATTCCCCTGACCATGAAGAAATGAGAATTGGCACCTACAGAGTGAACAATTACTGCAAGTCTAAGCAAAACTGGAACAGCTGTTTCTCTTCTTTTTCTATTGGCAAAGGAGAATACTTCAGAGATGAGAGAAAAGGAAAGTTTTATGCAGAAGAAGGGGGTTGGAGGTCTGTCTTTGTTCTCTCCACATCCACTTTTCTTGGGTATTTTCAAACAAATCTATAGAAGATAGTCCAACTATGTGTTTCCATTCAATCTGATCTGCCATTGCTGAACTACCTTTTCTATCAATTAATCAAGTTTGTGAAATGGCAGATTTATGAGCCTTTTTTTTCTTTTTACTTTTTCCTCCTTTCTTTTTTTCTCAACTGGCAGGAGAAGTCGATCAATGCATTGTCAACAGAACTTTAAAGACAACTTGAGAACAGTACTTTTAGCAGTCTAAATTGCAGGTCACCATAAGAACACAAATGTTGCATTATAAAGACACTATAAAAAATTACTGGAAAGTGCTCAATTACTCTTCCTCCTGACTGTTTTACAGCCCCTGAGCATGCACATAGCAGACATGCCTTCAGATGCTAGTGTACAGAGGGTAAAAAAAGCTCTCATTTTCTACTCTTAAGCTAAAGAGGACAAAAATGAACTAGCAAGTTAGTTAAATATTTCAAGTTTTTTCCAAAGTGAAAAACAGCCAACACTTTATGTAGGACAACATTTGGTCAGCAGTGAGGGAATTGCTACTGTTATTTCCACAGTTAAGTTGGAAGCTGAGAAAAGATAAATTCTTGTGCTGGTTCCCTTATTATTTCTGGTTAGGTAAGGCACACACTTCCCATGAAAAACTGAAATTTTTTAAATTAGTGATCTACATTTAGAGGCTTGTATGTAAGGAATAATGACTGTACAACAGACTGCAGTATCAGTGCTTGGAGGTCTCATTGTTTTCCTGCAATAAACAAGTGGCAAAACCTTGCTGGAAAAGCCTCGCTCTCTTGACTAATATGCACGTACATATTTTTCATAACAGAGTATCAGCAACTGCTGCTCAGAAAGGTCTGTAATCTAAGAAAAACTGGCACAGATATTCCTAGCTCCTGCATTACATGCAGAACCCAAGATGATGACATGGTAATCACACTGAGCCCCCTCAAATCTCTAAGTTAGAAAATTTGAAAAAATTCAAGCCATATAGACTTCCACTTCAGTACGGTGTACTTCCAGTCTGACAAGGGTTTCACTTTATTTTTGCAAAAGAAATCCCATTATACCTCATTATCAAATATACTGAATAAAAGACTTGTTCTGAAACTTTTTTCTTTTCAGCAAATACAGTGAGGAACTTCAGCTGTATTCAAAAATTCTTTTACACTCAGAAAGAAAACAAAAATACCATCTGTGCTTCCTGAAAGGGAAGAAAGGCAAAACTTGGATATCAGCTTGGTAAACTATAGTAATATTTTACTCTTGACAAATTGTGTACTTTGAGTTTCTCATAAGAGGTCATGAATTACATAACCTAAGGAAAGTATAACAATCATAACATGTAGCTGTAAATTTGAAGGGATGATGTCTAAATATTAGAAACACCCAAGTTTTTAATAGTCAAGGTCTTCAAAAGGCTCAGCTGCGAAATAAAATTATATTACGTTATTATTAAATTACTTTAGGTGACTCCTGAAGTTATCTAAATTGACTGCCTAATGCAACATCACGTAACAACAGGAAAAATGTCTTTCACTCCAAAAATATAATTTAATCTAAAATGTTCTAGTAGAGACAACTGAGTGAGAAAAAAATGCAAGTAGTTCTGATAATGCAGTAAGTCTTCTCAAAACGAGATCAGCAACTTCAAGCGTCAATGCAACTGAGATGCCAAGATACTTTGTCCTGAGTGAAAAGGTATGTGGGAAATAGCAGGTGAGCAAAAAAATCTGAAGAATGAAGCAGTAAATTCTGACTAGGTCGCACTTGGACTATTAGGATGATCAGGGCACTGTTTCACTCAGTGTTTGGACCTAGGGCAAACAAGAACTGTTGGAGTACATGTGGATGCTCCAAATGCTAGAGGAATAGTAGGCACAGAATTAGCAAACCTAGTGACCCAATGTAGAACAAACCTTATTTGTCACAAAATAGAAAACACAATAATTCGAGGGAGATGATTGTCCATCATACAGAAAGTTACTTTTACAATGTTTCTGAAAGCTGATCAATGCAAGATCCTTACCGGGAAAGTCTTAAGGGCATTATAGGCACACACAAAGGTAAAGGGCTTTCAAGTGATCTACCTTCAATGAAAAGGCATTCTGATATTTAGAATATATGAAAATATGAGGAAAATGTAATTCTTAATTTCAAGTCTCAGACTCCTGGCATACAGACATAGGATCTTATCAAGATTTAAAAAAAAAAAAAATCATAGTATTTCTCTGGTACTTGGTGAAACCCAGGAATGCCAGGCACGTGCAGAGCATCGGTCATGTAATTTCTTTACCACTGCTTTCCCTTCTTTTAAGATACGCATCTGCTTTAGGATTTTCAATCTCCTATTAATTGTTACTGACAAAACCAAAAGTTACTTTAGAAATAACTGAGTACTCATATTAGTACTTTGGTTAGTATGTAAATCTTCACGTGTGCTGTCAGCCTCCTTGCATACTACTTCCTCAAGTACCACAAAAGACAAGCATGCTGAGTAGGTTGCCATGTACCTAGAGTTTCCTTCTTGCCCTGGATGGGACTCTGACTGCAGAGATTTGAAGCAGAGAAAAGAATAGAGGCAAATGTCAATTCTGACTTAAGGGAAAGAGTTATCAACAACCCTGTCATATGTCTTAGAGTTCTTTATCCTTTATCATGAAGCCCAGCTCGTGGCTGGGTACACTTATTAGCATTTACATCTGCTGCATCCAGTACTAATATTAAGTGGTAAAAGTGGGGAGGAAATATTGCACGGATCATCGTGACACAGGCAAAAACAAACATCATAGAAAAAGATGTAATTTATTTTCTTGATAAAAGTTGGATTTATTTGACAATACTTTTCATTACCTCTTTCCCAACAGGGAAGGGGGGCAGACAGAGGGGAATGGCTCCATTCATCTTGTCAAGTTTTATAGGAACTTCCTTCATAATTCCTAGCTAAATCCAAGACTATACTTCAAACTATAAAATGGTCCTCATATTTAAAAATTAATAGGGTCTAAACATGGAAATACAATAGCCTAACACTTGCCTCTAGCATTATAGACATAGATGTGTTGATAGGTAAGTTTCTGTAATACTACACAAAGCTTAAAAATAGAGTGCTTGTTTGAAGTTACCTGCTTGTCATTTGACATGAAGTCATCCACTTCCAAAGTTTTACTATTATAAAGCTGTCCAGAGAGCAACACTTTAAACTTACAATACCGCTTCAATTCACAGGCCTGACAAGACATAGTTTTTGGATTTTTCAGGATTATGCGAACATCTGGGTAACAATCCACACGCTCCTGAAAAACAGATTTCAAATAACATTAAAGAATCTTTCTAAAATGAATAATGCCTCAAATAGAGTGCTGAGTTCTCTGTACTCACAAAAAATTAGTCCAAGAAAAATGAAAGAGATTCAAATCTGCAATCTTTCATCATTCAGTTGTGAACACAGACCTTCTCCATCATCTTCCAACACTTCACTCAGTTCACTCTAGTTCATTAATTCTTTCTTTTGGCTTCAGACCTAGAAAATGGCTTCTACATCCTGGCAGAATTTTTCTCATACCTTTTTTTTTTTTTTAGGGGGTAGGGGTGCAACTACATCAGTTGTTCTCCTTCAGATAAATACACTGTCTCTCTGCACTGGCCAGACCCCATTATTACAGTGATTATTAGAACACCACACCTATCACACTAATACTATTCTAGTAGTATGCATATGATGACTCTGTTCCTGTATACTGACTTCATTTTTTGTAGTAGTAGTAGAAGATTCATGAGCATACTAGTTTATCTTTTTGTGGGAGGAGGAAGAAATTTTGTTATAACATTTACAAAGTCATAGAAAAATCCTCAAAAAGTCATCTGCTGAAGTTAGCAGGAGAAGCATTCAGGTAGCTGAGAAGAGATTCCGTTCTGCTACCTGAATGTTTATCTGGTTATAAACACATAAAATATTTCTGATACTTATAAGCATTGAAACAAATTACGTAAGTTAAAGAACAATGAGTTTCTATTAAAAAGTATATATAACTACACCAATTGCTGTACCTTTACAGAGAATTATAGTGTTAAAAAAAAAAAGTCAGTAATGATTTGATTTGGAAGCCACTTCACTGTTTAAAGTAGAACCTACATACCTTGTATCGATCTTTCCAGCGACTTCTAGCGATTAAGTTCTCAAGCCGAGGCTGAATGAAGCGGTCGTCCAAATAATGAAGTGAGAGCAACATATCTTGTGCATACTTCTTTTGTCTTGTTCCATCTGCTCAGCGAGAATCATTACTAATTTGCTGACCACCCTTTCTTATACAAGTTTCTTGAGATAAAATTTGCAAGGACACAATACTTCTGCATACTAAAAACTATGAATGATTTTAATAAATTATTACTCAATATATTTGCTACTGTTACCCATAAAAGTGATCCATGCATCTTTGATAAAGGAATATATTTAATTATTTTAAAAGTGGTACATGAATAAACTCTACAGTCAAAGTTAAAGTGAAAAGTTGTCATCCCAAATAGAGATCCATTGACTCAATCCCATTTAAAAGAATGGAAAAGGAGGAAGGAGGGGAGAAATGTCTTGCTTTTTGTCCAGTCTATTTAAGTTGTTCTTAACGCATAAGGGGGGTGGTTGCAATCCATGAAAACAAACTGCTCTGAGCTACTTCACAGCACTTTGTCACTTATAAAGAGCACAGAGAAACTAACCTTCACACTCCACCAGCACAGTCAGATGCCTTGAGTTAGGCAGCATAAGTACTTCCAAATACTTACTCAAGCAAAATAAATAAACAAGCATGAGGATGAGTAAAATTACAACTGTTCCACTACTGTCTCCCAAATACACGCTGGACCCCAGGAATTAAATAGGACTTTCATAGGTGCAGGCCAATGCATACTGTTCTGGAACTTCAGCATGTACAGACATACAACTTAACACAGCTACCTTCTCATGTCTTCTAGCAATCATCATGGCTGGGCTTCACAAATGAACATTTGGGAAGGGCTTTACCCACGTTTGTTACAAGCACGCTGGTGGCTAAAAAGGCCAATACGAGACGGGCACGTCCGGTTGCACTTCTAGCAATACTGTTATTAAAAAAAAACCCCACCAGAACTGAGAAGGACCACTGTCTATCTAGCTTGCTATATAAAACCATTAATTGTCATAGATTTCATAATTGCGATTAACTGTTTTTCCCTATTCACTTTACACACACACATTTACAGTATAAGCATGAAGAGGCTGTGCTAGACCATAAAAAAATTCCTCGTAATAAAAAGCAAGTCTGAACTCTAATACTATAGTAGCTACTCTTGATTCAAGCTAATGAAAAGATTCACTTTCATTAACTCAGAAAAATCCATCTACATTACAAAAATACTTTTTTGTTATGTTCATACTATTCAATGTTCATGTACAACCTCCAGCTCCCCCACAGAGCTCACCTACTTCCAGCACCTTGGCAGTAAGTTGCTACATTTTATAGAGCAGATACCATTTGAAACAGACGGAAGTTATTACAACATTAATCTGGAAAAGTTTACTTAGTACTATTCATAAGCTTGTTTTCACTTGGTGAAACAAAACAAACCAACCACCTGAAAGAACTAGCCGTGGTAGATGAAAGACATTTTTAACTCCAAGAATATACAGCCTTTATTCTGAGGTCTGTGGTATTCTTCAGTTTCTCTGTTTCCTCTTAGTTCTGATAACACCAAAACTTCCTCTCTTTGGCACTTTACTGACTCTTCCACAATCTGACTTGGACAGTTCTCTCCTTAATCCCATCTTTACAGTGCTTTTGAAACTACATGTAAGGTTGTCATTCAGCCCCACTAGGCCAAATGCTAAAAAGCACTTCCCCAGAAAGAACAAGACAAAAAGTACTGACTGCTGCTAAACTTTATTTATCTGAAATCACAAATGTTAGACAAAAAGAAAGGAAAAAAATCAGATATGGAGTCATCACCATAGCTAAAATTATTTATTACCAAATTCCTCAGAAAAAAAGCTACGGAGCACAAAAAATTTTGACAAATCAGCTGACCTTGCACTGTTTTCATTGTTTTGAAACTAATTTTGCTTTCATGCTGTAAAGGTTACTGATCAGTAACACAGAAACACTTCCTTTCATCTCAAAAAGGCATTTTAAGCCTTCTAGGCTTAAAAGAATTAAGTCTACACCTTTTTCCAAGATTAGTCTATCCTCCCCTCTCCTGCCAAAGTTACAGAGCAGGGAAACCACATGCAGATTTCAGGACTCAGCTCTATACTCTAATAAGGAGAAACACTCCTCCCTAGAATAAATGGCTTTGTATAACTTTGAATGCACTATAATGTTATTTAATGTGATTTACTTACCATATAATGAGCTCAGAAAAGTGTCATCAATTGCATTTATGAGGAAAGCCTTTACTATTCTTTTGAAGTGTACATAATGATCACAGCGAGGTACTGGGAAGAAAGCAGTATCATCAGAATTTACCCAAAAAAGGGAAAAAAAAACAGAAAAAAAAGCAATATTAGAAGTCCTGTAAGAATTCTTTTTTTCATTATTGTGAATTTAGAATTTTAAACTTATTTAAATATGGATTTAGAAATAATTGCATGGTATAACATCCACACCCTTAAGATTCTGCCTCTAAAGTATACTTCTCATCCCAATGATCCTACACAATTTTAGCATCCTCGAGTCACATACACTTTCAGTAAGAGCCCACAGAAAGAGCTACGAACACTAAAAGAAGTGAATAATTTGTTCTATGAATAGCAAGAAATAATGCAAAACAGAGAAGACCAGGCTTATGTTGTGGTTTTTTGGTTGTTTTGGGGGGTTTTGTTGTTGTTGTTTTGGTTTTGTTTGTTTATTTTTTCTATCTTTCTTTCAAATACCCACAGTTCTGCTAAGGTCTTCATTGGGCAAGAAATACTACAAATGCTTGTGATCACCTACACTAGCACGGACTGCCTAATCAGTACATACCTCTTTCTGAACAACAAAATACGGAAGAAAATAACTCATATAAAGGTCTGTTTCAAATGTCTCTGCTCCATCCAGAAACCGGTTCTCATATAAGAACAACTTGAAGAGTTTTCTTGCTCTATGCAGTTTGGCCAGTCTTGGCCAATGAAGTCAGAAACCCCTCTAGACCTCTACTACCAAGTCTCACCACCACAGAATAAAAATACGTTAAAAAAAAAAAAATCCCAAGCCCCAAACCTTCAAACTCCTGGTAAGAATAGAATTTGGACAGAATTAACATAGTTGCTCTTAGTGTTTATCACAGGATGGAGTTTGATGCTTTCAGGTCTCCACAGGAATGACTGTGGCATCGGCAGCCTACTTCATCCTAAATCAGACCAACTTAAAAAATTCTGTGCAATAAAGTTAACCTTCCTTCCCCTGAAATTATATTCTCTCTTTAATTAAGATACCGAAAGACTGCAAAAGTTTACTGTGGCAATCAGACTGCTTCCACAATAAATTGAAGCCTTTAGGAATCTGCTTTCAAAATATCATATCCTATTACTTAGCATTTGTATTTAGCCCATTAATTTTTATAACAGTACTACAAGCAAGTTATACATACAGAATTACCACTAATTTTGATCTTACACTGTGGGATGTAGTATGACAGCAACTCGCTATTTGATGTATTTAGTTGCTTTTGTTGTGGCTGATTTTCACTCTTTACGCGCTCTATGTTGTTGTCATCATCGTTATCATCATCTTCATCTTCCTCTACTATAAAATCTTCCATGCTGCCACTCTCAGTTTCACTACCTTCTGTTGGTGTGAGGGGCAAGTGACAAAGCGGTTCCTCTTCTATTTCTGCTTCACTATTAGAATCCTAATTAAATTTTAAAAGGTACTTCAAACAACAAGAATTTTCAGTATTTGCACTGACAAAATACTACGTATACTAGCTTTTTGACCATCTCATTACACTATTTGTTCACAATTTGTAACAATTAAGCAGGTACACATTTCCAAAAAATACATCATTCTGTACCAGATGACAATTACTTTCAGATTTAAATTAGCCATCTCCATGTACCTCTCTTCAGTCTATCTGTAGGAATTAACCTGAGATCTCCAAGTTACTTTAGCAGGTATTCTGCTTCCTGATAAAAAGCATCTGATAGCTTTTCAGCAGTCAATATTATGTAGTTAATGTGACTATTAAAATGTGACAGAACTACTGATTTGTCATGCATTCAAAACCAAAAAATCCCACTGATTTATATCTATTAGTCTTCGCCTTTCCTCACATTAAATATTTTCTCCAATTAAATTTCAAAGATAAAACCCAGACCTCCCAATTTGCACTGCTGCAAGATCTCCGAGCTGCACTTTTTCTTGCAAGTTCTTTCAGTTTTGCAAACACTTTCTGTTTCCTACTAGTAGAAACATTCTCTGTAGGGCACGTTTTATCAGGTTGCTGTTCTTCGGAACTGTCATCCTCATCCATTATACAGCGGCGCTTAGCAAAAACTCTTCTAACCAGTACGTCACTGTCCTGACTTTCATCACTGTCATACAAGACAGAGGTGTTTGACCTCTTACGCTTCCCAGGCACAATGCACTCATCCTCCCCATCATCTGTTCCTTCTGCATTGTGGCCTTTTTCTTCCCGATCTGAAAGACTGCTCTTAATGAAAGTTTCATCCTTTTCATCTGTTTCACTTTCTGATGTGGTAGGCTCCTCCTCCTCAGAGGTAGCTGAGGATTCGTCACTGCTGTCAAGTAGTATGAGTTCCCTTTTAGTACGCCTCCAATCGACCCGGGATTTGGAAGACGACAGCTCTGTTCCTGCTGCCTTATTTCTTGTTTCGTATCTTCTGACAGGTGCTTTTATCTCCATTGGGAGGCTGTGGCAACACACCGAAGTACAAACCGGTAAGACAAAGCACTCATTACATTATGCCATTAAAAAAGTACATAAGCATACATATTTTGTTACATACACTTACGACTTGACAGTACCATTAAGAGACACGCGTGGAAACCAGGATCAAACAAAAATAAACCTGCACAGTAACTTCTGAGGGCGATACACCTTACTGAAAACATGCAGAAGAGCAGAAGTGCCCGCACCCAGCGGCGCTTCTGGATAAACTGAAGAACTCAGGTCTGAAGCGCAGCTACCGGTCCCACCGTCCTCTCCCAACCCTGGAAGCCTCCAGCTCCGTTCCAGACCTGCTCTGACGGCACCGCTCGCTCGGGACCAGCGCCTTCAGGGCCCACTGCGGAGCGGCCCGTGCCTACAGCTGCTGCCCCTTACTCTGCCAGCCCCGCAAGAAGGCCTGAGGGGACCCGCGCCGCGCCGAGCTGTGCCGGCCCCGCTCCACACCCCGGGACAGAGCGGGACAGAGCGGGACAGGACGGGACAGGACGGGACAGAGCGGGACCAGGACGGGACAGAGGCGGGACAGGGACGGGGGATAGGACGGGACAGGAACGGACAGGACGGACGAGCGGGACAGAGCGGGGACAGAGGCGGGACCACACCGGGACACACCGGAACACACCGGGACAGGACGGGACAGGAACGGGAACAGGAACGGGAACAGGACCGAGAGACAGGACGGGACAGGGAGGGCCGAACGGAACGCCACCGTGAGCTTCGCGCGCCGCCGTTACTTTGGGCGTCCACCGTGACGCTTCCCGCCGCCCGGCCCTCTCGGCCGCTGAGCGGAGGCTCCGCCCCCCTCCCGCCGCCCCGGGCACCGCGATTGGCCACCGCCCCCTGTCACTCAGCCTGCCGCTGTGTTTACGGAAGTGCTGTCAGGCCGCGGCGGGGATTGGCGCGCAGTGGTTGGGGAGGTAGAGGTGTCGTGTTCCAGTCCTGCCTCGGCAGGTCTCGGGCAGCAATGGCGTGGGGTGGTTTAGTTGTTTTTGTCCGGCCTAGATACATTCCTGAGGAAAATCTGTGTGGGCTTGTGAGGTACGGCACCTCCCCAGAGGGGCTGACAGAGACTGCCGCTGGTCTGGTCTGAGGTGCACCCCGCCACAGCAGGTCCCTCAGCGCTGCCGGCGCTCCGCTTCTCTGCATCCCTGGGAACAAACTCGGTGGATTAATGAGGAGCGGCTGAGAGAGTTGGGGATGTTTACCCTGGAGAAAAGGGGGCTCATGGGGGAACCTTATCGCTCTCCACAACTACCTGAAAGGAGCTTGTAGCCTGGGGGGGTGTGGAGGTGTCGGTCTCTTCTCCGAGACAACAAGTGACAGGACGAGAGGAAATGGCCTGAAGTTGTGCCAGGGGAGGTTTAGACTGGATCCTAGGAAGTATTTCTTCATTGCAAGGGTTATCAAGCATTAGAACAGTCTGCCCAGGGAAGTGATTGAATCACCATCCCTAGAAGTGTTCATAAAAACCGTGTGGATATGGCACTTGAGGGCATGGTTTGATGGTGAATATGGTGGTGGTACTGGGCTGATGGTTGGGCTTGATGATCTGAAAGGTCTTCTCCAAACTTAATGATGAATAATGAGCTGCTGCTGTTGTTCTGCTTAAGATGTCTGTTGAATAGGATGCTGGATTCTGTTCAGAGCTAATATGCTTACAAATACATTTTAATAACAACATTCATGTCTTAAATTTTCTCTGCTTTGCTTGGTCTGTGGCAGAAAACTACTGCTACCTTGGAACTTATTCTGCTGACATTTTTTGTACATTTTTAGCAAGATCTTGAAATTGTTTCCATGTATTTCTTAAAAAAATAGCTAGCAACAAAACAACGAGAGGAAGCCCTCTCATTTCTCATCTTATTTGCACAGGACTGCTATGACATTGACATGGCAAAGAGGTGTGGACAGGCATTTATGTACGTGGTGGGTTGAATTCCCAACAAAATGTTTATATTGCAAGGATTATAATGATTATAAATCAAGGATTATATTGCATTTAGGGATTTATAGTCTTGGACTGACATTTGGTTTAATTGCTTTAAATTTAAAGTCAGTACATGAATTTTCAAACAAATAAACGGATCAGAGTTTTCCCATGATTTAATATTTCCTCCAAAGTGTGGTGGAAGTTAACATTTCAGGGTACTGCTCTTCATCGCGCGTCTTGCTTCCAACGTCGCCACCTTGTGACAAAAGGGGTGAAGGAAACCTAGTAGTTTTACTCATGTAGTACACGAGACGGAAATAAGGTAGCTACAATAAAAATATTGTATGCAACTGAAGAAAATATATAGTAAATAATTTTTTTTACTTGAATTACATGAAGAGTTTTAGTTATGAATACTGGCTTCTGAAGGACAGCAAAGAAGTTTTTATTATTCACAGTGCTGAAAATCTTATATCCTGATTTTCTGGATGATTTTTCAGGGGAGTCTACAGCGTGAGGTCATGTGTGTCCTTAGATTTTAGTAGCAGACTTCCAGTCAAGAGACACGACTTTTCCAAACAGACCAGTTTTCCTCAAAGCTCCTCTGTAAATTTCTTAATATGTTCACTACACATTAAGGAAACTCATCTGTTACATAAAAAAATAAACTCTGTTGATTTTCATGTGTACCAAAGCCTTTCTGTGGAGCTTGTGCAATCACTATGCCATGTGATGGTGATAAGATCTTGCCAGTACTGAGTTTTCTATTTTACTAGGGTATCCCAGTCTCCTATGATTTTAGATAACGGAGAAATTAATATGTTGGAAACTTTATTTTAAGTAGCAGCTCCCACTAGCCCCTTCTGTTCCTGGCTGCTTTAGCTGCTGCATATTTGCTGTGCTGCTTTCCAGCTGGTCTGTTAGTTGTCTGGCTGTTGCTATGTTCACACTGCAGTTTCTCTGAAGCTTGAGCTCTTCTGGGGTTCAGTGATGTGCAGGATTATATGAACATTCCTTCCATAAAACAGACCCTTCCTGCTTGGGGTATTCTCCTTTCCCTAAGGTAAGCAATGGGAAGCTCAGAGCTCACAGTTCCCAGGGACTGTTTCCTGCAGCAGTGCAGCATTTGCAAACACTCTATGACTCCCAGGGATATTGAGCGCTAGGCTGGCTCATGCCCAAATAGTAGTGCTGAATTTACCCCAGCTGGAAAAAAGAAAAAAACTAAAACAAACAAAACAATGCCAAAAGCTCTTTCTAATTTTTAAACTTAAGAGGAGGTCTAGGCCTGTCTGGAACTGGCACAGGCACGAAGGTGGCTCTCGCTCTGACAGATTGCAACAACGCAACAGCTCGTTAGAGCAGAAATGTCAAGTCACCTCTGAGTTTGCCAATAAGTGATTTAGCCAACAGAAGCCATGACAATGAGCTTTAATGCTTTCAAAATAAATTTTCAGCATTTCAGTTCCTTAGAAGGGACTTTTTACTGGTCACCAGCTTACGTCACCAGGGACTCCCCATCCCTACACCAGACACACTGCTCAGTCCATTTATGTCATGCATTAAGTAGAGACATAAATTAAGCACACAGTAACAGTTTTATCACCAGAAAGAGCTGCTAGGACTCATAGGGAGGCCCCCAAGTAAGATTATACCTCAAGTAAGATTATACCTAAAGTGTAGAAATTGCATACAGGTTATCTTCTTTTAATTTTGTTCTTTCTCTTATTTTTTATTCTGTCTTTGTTGAACACAACCTTCTATATAGTATATGGAGAGAATATTACAGGGGACTTGTTATCTTGTATTTGTCTGCTTCCTATTTCTCGTCAATGGAAGACTATTTCCCTAATTTTATGGAGAATCCCAGCAAATGATAAGCCTGGCCAGAAGCCCTGGGAGCTGCTGGGTGACTTTGACATGATTCATGTAATTTTTTTTTTTTTTGCTATTGCTCTGTAGTCAGTAGCAACAGAGAAATTGACCTTAATAGTTATAATTTCTTAACAGAAAGTATTTTAATATTCTATTTCAATGCCTATTTTAAAGAATGTACATCTCCATTTAGGAGAAAAATGTTTCAAAAAAATTAAAAAGTTTTCTAGAGCATAGAGTAATTCTAAATATTCTAGTAATTTAGAGTATTCAAATAGTAATTCTAATATTACTATTAGAATAATAATTCTAAATACCTTCCCTCCTCACCCTTTTTTGCTAATAGTGTTTAACAAATGTTAGTATGTGTTTAACATAGAGTGTTTGTTAAAACTTTTCTCAGAGACTGGAATTCATTTCTGCACAGAAGCCTTTTTAAGGAATTAAATGGGGTTTGTGAGATCCTTAATCCTGATTCTGGCTCTTTGTGTAGTGTTGAATTTCATAGAAAGAGTGAGTTGCAGACAAAAGAGACCAACGGAGTTAACATTTAATCTCTTTTTGAAACACTGAGAGCTTTCTGGTCTCAGGAGATTCTGAAATGATGTTCCATATACAAAAGTTTTCTTTGTGTGTCTTGTAGGCTGGATCACGATTGCTAGATGACTTGCATGTTTATTTTGTCATCAGTGCCTTTGTGAGTTCTTGTCATCCCTGCTATTTGAAAGTTCTAGTAGTTGATAAAATATGTAGTTTACCTTGCCACCTATGTGTGAGATTAAAATCTTTTATCTTCACTACCTGGAGTATATACAGTCTAATAGTAGGACAGTACAAGGCCGAATGTAGTCAAGGTTCATTATCACTATTTGAATATCACCTGTATTTTGATCCAGTTCCACTCCAGTAAAATTCAGTTTATTCTATTTTCACTGCCTTAAGATATTAAAAATACCTTGGTCTTTCAAAGTCACAGACTATGAATTGCATTTGTGTTGAAGTAAGAGACTGAGAGGTAAATAGGATTTGATTTTTATCTGGTGCTGGTATAAGGCTGAGACCTTCCTACACAATCCTGGAAAGGTTCTGTTTGATGTCGAGGTTTAAGGTATCACTGGACATAACCTGGTGATATTGATGTGCTAAGTTTTGAATAAGAGCAGTGCAAGGCATACTTGCTAGCATCCACCAGAACTGTGTAATGAAGGTCAGGATTTTTGTACATTGAGGGGACTTGAGGGGAGTGGCATTTTATCCTACTTTCAGAGCTTTTCACCTTAATTTTGATATTTCTTGAAGAACTTATTTTTATCTTTCAGGGTGGTTTCTTTTCTCTTTGTCACAAACCACATAAAATCCCCTGGCAGCAGTTCTCTAGCTGGACAATCTTTTGCCAGGAGGAATGTGATGAGTCATGATGTGTGATCAGAATAGCTGTGCTGTTAAAATTG